CTCTCTCTCTCTCTCTCTCTCTCTCTCTCTCTCTCTCTCTCTCTCTCTCTCTCTCTCTCTCTCTCTCGGCAAAAGCGGGAAGATCCGTTCGCGCTTTGCGATGGGAATGAACCCATTTGTTTGCTTTTCTTTTTTTTTTCGGTTTTTTTTTCCGTTTTTTTTTTTTTCGTTTTTTTTTTTCCGTTTTTTTCGTTCGTTTCACTCCGACGTTCGGGATGCCTGCACCCGGTAGTCCGAGCCTCGGCATGGATCGGCGTACCGGTCAGCCGAGGCTCGGACTCGATAGCTGGGCCAGGTACCGATGGTTTAAAGCAAAGTGTCATTTAAAATGCCAGTCTTTCCCCATTGCACATTCCAATCCTTTATCACAGCTCCGTTCTTTCCAGGCAGTTATTTTTTTCGAAAGCTGCGCCAGCAACTGGCGTTTTAACTTTCCCAAAAAGAGATGAATCAGGACTGTCAGGGCGCAGTAAATAGCTAGGTTACCAGAGTGGCCCGAGACCACTAGCCACCCAGGCCAAAAAAGAACGAAAATGAAAATAGAGAAGCTTTGATTTATTTTTTCATTAATGTAGTTTTAATTTTGCAAAGAATTTTGACGTGACCGTCCCTGGTCCTTGCACGGTCGGGCTGCCCGGGCGACCAAGGTGACCCAGGAGGCCCGGTGGGTAACATCGGAACATATTGATTAACGACATTATTATGCATGTTAAATTATTCATTAAAAACATCCAGCGGCCCAGCTCAGTTGATAATGCACACAAGTGACATTGAAGACATCTTGGGTTCAATCCCCATTGGTCTCATGTACCTTCCTGGGCATGCTTGGCGCCCGCCACCTAGAGATATGTCTTTTGTCCTCCCAAGTGGTGGCATTGAGCAGAGACCGCTGATGCTCATAGGGGGGGGGGGTACCGGAGGGGAGATACAATGACTCCTAGAGATATGTCTTTTGTCCTCCCAAGTGGTGGCATTGAGCAGAGACCGCTGATGCTCAGGGGGGGGGGTACCGGAGGGGAGATACAATGACTGGCCCATCAAAGAAGCTCAGTCCTGATGCTACCAGCTGACCCCTGGCCGGTATCCCCCACCTGCTTAGCAGGTATCGCACCTACTCGTGGGTGCAACTCCCGCATGTTCCCTCGTTGGAGGCTTGAGCACGGATGTGGCTGCCACAGGGTTCCTCGTACTACCATAATGCCAATAAAAAAGGCCTGAAAGGCCATCCTGTCCAGAGCCCAGCATATTAATAAACAGCAATACATGGTGCATATTAATTGAGAAGAGCACGGTAATACACAGTGCATACTGATGAAGAGTAAAAATCTAACAGATCAAGTCCTCTTTTTGATACAATTTATTACAATTATACAATTGTGTTTGTGGCTCACTGCTTTGGACACCCTTTTTCAGGGAAAGAAGAAATATAAAAAATTAACTCTCTGGCTGCCCAGGACGCACCACCGGGCAGGATTGCAGGCACGGTCCCAGCCAAGCCCCAGACAGCCCCAACGCAAAATAAATTCCATGCGTTACCTTGAAAGAATGAATTAAACAAACTAACTGAGCCACACCCCTTCAAAGCCCTTTGAAACTACGCTGTTTTTCCATGCGCCCGGCCACAAACTTTGTGGCAGGGCGACCACCCGACTGCACAGCCTGGTGGGAAATTCCCCCCAGGGCCCCCGGTAGGCCTAGCATGAGATTGAAAAAAAAATGGAGGACACCATACAAAAATTCTGGAAAACAACTGTGTAGAGTTGCAATCAAAAAAAAAAAAAAAAATTTGGCCGAGGGTCACAAGCGCACAGGGGCCCTGGAGGTGGGCTGGATATCAAGACCGGTATGGATCCAGTTTATATAATACCTCCAAGTATTGTAGTGGTTACGATACCTCCAGGGGTTGTAGTGGTTAGGATACTTCTGTCCTGTGCTGGAGGGTGCTGGTTTGAGGTCGTCCGTGCACGGCAGGGCATGATGTCCTAAACACACGTTGGTTAGTAATCACTGTGAGGCGCCCGTGAACCTGCAGGAAGTTGGCCGGCTCTGTGTGACCGGGTTCAGTAGCGGTGGTGGACTGCGTGTTGTCCGAGCGGAGTGTGTGTGGATTGTCCAGTCTCCGGTGTGGTATTTGTGTGTTGGGAGTTCAGGGTACAGCCCTGCAGATGGGATATCAAGACCGATATGGATCCAGTTTCTATAACACGTTCAAGGGTTGTAGTGGTTACGATACTTCCTGTGCTGGAGGGTGCCGGTTCAAGGCCGTCTGTGCATGGCAGGGCCTGATGCCCTAAACACATGTTGCTCAGTGATCATTGTGAGGCGCCTGTGAACCCACAGGAATTTGGCCCGCTGTGTGTGACCGGGTTAAGTAGCGGTGGTGGGCTGCATGTTGTCCGAGTGAGTGTGCGTGGATTGTCGAGTACATGATGTGGTGTGTGTGTGCAGGGTAGATATCGGTACGGATCCAGTTTTTATTTCGTGTGCTGGAGGGTGCCCGTTCAAGGCCGTCTATGCGCTGCAGGGCCCTTGTCCCCACCAAAGGACATTGCAGACAAACAAAGAGAGCTAGGATTCAGGCTGCTTCCCATGGACACAAAAAAAACTAACTGGCCGGGGAAAACAAAACAATACAAACCAAAAAATCGCCGAGGTTTTACATACCAGACCTCGGGCAGGCAGACAGCAGGGCGATCTACACGGGTACCTAGTTGTGGAACCCTGGTAACGTGTCTGTAAGCCCGTTATGCACCACATTCCCTCCCACCCCCCTCCCCTCCCCCCCCTCGGGCTGATGAAACTGAAAAACAGAGAAGAGCACAAATTCAGGGTGCTTTCGGTGGGTGTAGAAATGTGCCAAACCCAGCTTTCCCGAGGTGGGCAGCCCGAGATACCCCTGACATGAAAAAAGATAATGCGGCAGTACGATCCAAATCCAGCCTCTTGCCCTTTTTGCTGCATGTAGATTCTGGGTGTTGAGGGGGGGATTTGCAGGATGCACAAGGTGGGAGGTGGGAGGTGGGAGGTGGGAGGTGGGAGGTGGGAGGATGAAGGCAATGGAGATGGGAGGAGGGGTGAGGCACTCGAGATGGGAGGAGGGAGGAGGCAGGGTACGGCGGAGTATGGAGGAGGGAGGCGATGGATATGGAAGCAGGAGGGAGAAGACAGGGTATGGTGGATTACGGAGAAGGGAGGCAATAGACAGGGAGGAAGGAGAGGGGTGATGAAGAGACGGGCTGCTCTTCGCTGTCGATCCTGGGACGATTGACACCCCAGATTAGGATACAAAGAACAAAAGGAACGGGGCCCTACCGGCCCCGAAAAACGAATGCAGCACTGCCATATTTTTCGTTGGCCTGCAGGCCAACCAGCATTGGCAGGATTTTTTTTTTTGAGGCCCATTCGGGTCCTGAAGTGGCAGTGGGGAGGCCCTGAAGGCCGGCCGGGGGGGGTCACCCAGCTGACCACCCCTGGCGTCATTCCAGCCCGGATTGGAAAACTAGACACCAACAGGACGTTTTTGAACTTTTTTCTTTTTAATCTTTTACTGAAATCCCATACTTTTCAAACCGCCAGTACATTTCCTGTCAAAGAATAAAATGTGTGGCTTACTTGCATCTACAACTTTCGGAAAAGCAGCCTCCGGAGCAAAATGGCGGACGACGTCAGCCAAAAGGAGGCCCCCACCAGTTTGTTTGTCTTTAGCACGGCACTCGTTTCCGGGCCAAACGTGCCTCGGAAGTTCTGGTGGTTTAACATACCACTTCCACCCACACAGGGCGAGTCCCCTGCGAGTCACCTGGCTTAAAAACAGTCCATTTGGGGGATCAGAGTCAATCTGCAAGTGTTGGTGTGACAATCAAAATTCTGATACTCACCAATATTGAGGGCCAGGGTGGCCTGTACTCTCCTGACACTCGTAAAAAATCCCGGAATGTTCAAAAGCGCCCCCCCTATGGGGCTGGAACCAAATTGTTTGTGAAACAATGATTGTCCAACTGGTACGCAACCTCCCCTGGCCAGTGGCAATATTGAGAAACACAAAAACAGAACAAGAAAAAAAACAGAACAGTCATCCAACAGAAGGACACACAACATCACTCACATGTTGCATCATTCACTCGACACTCTGAAAGAACTTTTGATCCTTCAATTTCATCTTTTCTGTTCGTTTCTTTTCTTACGCGGAAACCAGTTGTGGTCAACTAGCGGAAGCGGTCTGTGCATCATCCGCTAGTAAGCCGGTCCCTGTTTGCTTCCGGTCTACGGGTGGGGAGCGGCACCTGCTGGAAACCGAGTCCTGCATCCCAGATACATCAATCGTTGCTGTTTGTGTCGGGTTTACCAGGGCCATTACCCGGCTTCGGCTATTGAGAGCTTTCACAAGAGAAAATGGCATCGCTGTCTCTTATCCCTAGTACAAGGCACCAGGCAAGGGCCTCCTGTGCCAATTGCCCTGTTCCACCCTCCCGGTCCCTGATCTGGTAGGGCTGTTGTAAACTTTGAATATTGAGAATGCCATCGCTGTCTCTTCACTCTAGTACAAGCCACCAGCCCGGGGCCTCTTGTGCCAATAGTAAGAATGCCATCGCTGTCGCTTCACGCTAGTACAAGGCACCAGGCCAATGCCTCTTGTGCCAGTTGCCCTGCTCCATCCTCCCCGCCCCTGATCAGGGAGGCAACACTTGTGTGATGTTCTCTTCTAATATGGGCTAGATGCAGAGCAACTACTTCACTTTATGACAGTACAGTTGAATGCAACACCCACCACCATGAGTAGGTGTAGGAGCAGTACAGTACTTTTCTTCTTCTGAACTGTAAATGACTGTACTCTGCATACCCACGCCCGGTCTTGGTCAAATTAAACCACCGCTACCCCAACCGCACTAAATTCGGCCTTCCTGGCCTTTAAGGACCGAGATAAATTAGTCCTTCCTGGCCTTTTAAGGATTGGCTAGTCATACCAGCTCAAGGTGATCACGAGCCTATAACCTCCCTAAGAACAACCCCTTCGCCAGACAACTCCAACACACTCCCCAATAATGTAGCAGATCAGAGGATCTGAGTCCGAAGGGCAAATCTCAAGCCAGGCCCACAACAAGAAAAAAAAAGAAAATTTTCAGGGGGGTGGTGACCACCAGGTGCAGGCCGATCCAACTCGAGCGATTTTTCACACTCAGGGATCGATGAAAAAATCTGAAAATTTGAGATCCTGTAGATTAGATAGTGATCTTTCCAGACCGTGAAATTAATGCTGCACCGATTCCTCACATTTTCCATTTTTGTCACTCTACCACGTGAGGGCCAACGGAAAAAGTACCCCAACTTCGACATTTTTTTGCGTTCAGAAAAATGACTAAAAAACTCTGAAAATTGGAAATTGTGTGGATTTGGTCGTGGTCTTACCAGGAAAAATATTAAGAAATATATAAAAATAGACCATGAAATAAATGCCGCACCGATTCATCTCATTTTCCATTTTTGTCGCTCTTCCATGTTTGGGCCAACCGGAAAAGTACCTCAAAAAGCGCTTTTTCACGATCAAGAATGTGTCAAGAAATCTGAAAATTGGAGGGTCCATAGATTTGGTCGGGAGCTTTCCAGGAAAAATATTAAAAAAATAAAATAAAAAATCGTTTAAAGTTAACCGTGAAATTAATCCCAGCCACCCCCAGCAGCAATTCAACGCATTTTCCATTTTTGCCACTACCCTGGTTCTAACAGCTGTGCTACCTGTAGCCCTCTTCAACCTGTGCTACCGGTAGCCCTCTTCAACCTGTACTACCGGTCCCCCAGAATTTAGGACGGCGGGGGTAGTTATGGTATAATAAGATAAGTACAGTACTTTTCTTCTGAACTGTAAATGACCGTACCCTGCATACTCTTTTTTTTTTTTTTTTTTTTAACGGGCCCAGTGCCCAAGGCTGATATTACCAATAAGAAGATTGAGGCCGGGGTCCTCACAGTCTGCCCGACTGTACTCTGCATACTCACGTCCAATTTGGTCAAATTAATAAGAACTTGAGAAGTTGATTACTTTTTAGTATTTACTAAAAAAATAATGTGTTCGGGCCAGCTAAATGGGCTGAATGGTACACCCATCAGTTTTCTTGATATGTAGACCTGGGCTCGGATCCTCACAGAATGGGCATCCGATCAGTTCTGTGATGATATCTCAAGCCCGTTGCTGCTCTTTTTTTTTTCGTTTCAAAAGAAACAATTTCTGTTATGTTCCAATATAAGCGACTGTAGTCTTCCAAAAAGAAACCATTTCTGCTATGTTCCGTTATTGACGTTGCACTTCTGTAGGTACGTCTGTCATCACTCCTCATCTCACGTCTCATGATGAAACTGTTCGGTCAATGAATGCCTTTGCAATGAATATCATTATGATTCCCTGTAAAGGACCTTCGGAAAAAAAAAAAAAGAGACAGTACAGCTGTCTTCTCCTCATAAGGGGGACAGTTGTATTTTTCTTCTCTTTTTAACTCACACTAGCTACCCATATCAATGACCTACCCACAGGCCCTGCAAGGTAGATAACGAATCACCTCCATTCAGGAAAAGCAGCTTGTGCCCCAGACAAGCAAGGGTACAAGAGCCCATCCGCACATCAAGGGAACCCGGATCTGAGACGAGAGTCCACAGCTAGTATCTAGGGCTAGGGTCTAAGGCCACCTTAAATTTACTAACCAGAACTAAGTTGTCCTAAGGTTATGGGCCTACATCTACCTATCTCTGCTCTGTGCTGGGAACTCTACCCAAGCTCCTAACACCTGACACGGGCTGCAAAGAACCACTTCCACAACCAGCCACTGGCAGCCAGGAGGCCCAAGCCAAAAATCTACGCTGGCGAATCCGAAGTATCCCCCAGGAGGCCGCAGGGATTGGAAGGACAATGTTGGGTATTAAACCCACGACCTCCTGAGCACCACTTACGTGCTCAACCAACTGAGCTAGCCAATCACGATTATCACGACTGTTCCTCATAAAGTACTCGTTCATGACATATGCTTTTTCGTTCAAAATAGGTCCACCCTGCGACGAAAGCGAGGCTTCCACGTTTTTCTTTACTGATCATCTCACTTTCATCACTCCTGAAGTCCTACCCTTCTGAAATAGGTCCACAAGAAGAGGGTGCAATCAAAAGACACAGCACAAAACCTCAACAGGCAGGATTGGGGCTCAGGGCTCAGGGTCTAGGGTCTTGGAGTTAGGGTTGAGGGTTCGTTCAGCTAGGGTGGGGGTCAGAGTCCATGGTCTAGGGTCTAGGGTTTAGGGTTTAGGGTTTAGGGTTTAGGGTTTGGGGTTTGGGGTTTAACCCTATAACCTATACCCTTCCTGGGTACAGGGGGGTTAGAGTTTATGGTTTTAGGTCCTAACCCTAAACCCTGTACCCTATATCCTAGCTGGGTTTAGGGTTTAGAGCATTCCAGCTTTAGAGGGGTCAAGTTTTAGGTTTTAGGGTTGGGGCGTTTGGAATATCAGGTTTAGCATTCACGGTGCAGGGTTCAGGCTTTACAGATTAGGGTTGAGCGATTAGGGTTTAGGGTAGCAGTGCTGTGCTCCCTTGGCACTCACATTGCCTGTGCATTCTCTTGAATCACCAGATTGAGAACCTGAAGTGCTTTCTCGACCTGATCTGATGCGCCACGCCCACTTTCCGCAGGCATCAAAACTCCGAGGTCAATCTTCCCATCCAATTGCAATCTGATGCAGAACCCAGAGTCAGCCCTGCCGATGTACCACAAGCGCAAAAGACCCCTGTCAGATACCGATGCATACCAGCGCTGGCCCGGCGACACAGCCGGTGCTGCCACCCCCGATCCGGTCGCGCTGGAATTCCAGTTGGGCCCAAACAAGAGCTTTATTTTTTGGCCGCAGGGTCTTTCGTTGGGCTAAATCGAGAGCAGTCAGAATCCACAGTAAAAACTTTTGACAGTAAAAACTCATCGAGAGCGGTCAGAATCCACAGTAAAAACTTTTGACAGTAAAAACTCATCGAGAGCAGTCAGAATCCACAGTAAAAACTTTGAGCTAACAACTTTCTTTGGGAGAGGATTGGGGGTGGGGCCAGAAAACGGGAGTAGATGGGGTTTGGGGTAATTTACTAATTTAGTAATTTCCCTTTGAACCGCGCTCTGCAGTACTTGCATACCAGAGGAAACAATGGAGGGGGGGGTTGAGTAAACAAGCTTACTCATGATCCCTTCTTGGTCCAGAAATATTAATTCAGTACCAAGAGATATGGTGGCCCACGGGTCAGATACTAAATCTGGTCCATTCAGATCTGATGATCTTTTACAAAGGCCGAGTAAGGCATATTTCTGGCAATGCTTTGCCGAAATTTATACACTTTTCCGCGAGAACTGCACTCTAGAACAAAGTTATGGGTTCAGGTTTCAACTCGTAAAGCCAGAACTCTTTCCATTTTTGTTCTTCGACAGACCATGGGTCATTCATTAGTCCGAAAGTATCTAACCTGGTTTTCTGTCCAGATACAAGTACTGGAGCCGGGCCCACTGTTGGGCTTGTACCTCGGAGAACTTTGGTGCTCTGACTTCAGGAGCCGAAACCTGAACCCAACCCTTAACTTTCTTCTGGATTGTAGCGCTCTGGAAGAAACCTATATGTCTGCAAAGCCTCCACACGAACATACACTTAGCGGGCCTTTGGCTGATATCGAGAAGAGCATCTGAACAGATCAGTTTTGATATGTTGTCCATGGTCCATCAGACCAAACGGTACTAAATCAATCTTTTTGCAGGCGAGAGCTGACGCCCTCTACCAAAATTCGGATTGAAAAGAAAGAGAATGAAAAAAATCGAGATGCGCCAATCTTGGATGCTGAAGTACCAAGATTGGCGGTCAGCTGCCTCAAACTTGTGAAGCATAGGGTCTACTGACCCCACTCTATTCTTTGCCCAACACCGAGTGCCCTCCACGAGGCTGGGGGAGGAAGCCAGGTCATTACCCATGCAGTGACCAACGCAGTTACCCATGCAGTTACCCATGCAGTTACCCACGCAGTTACCAAAGTAGTTACCCATACAGTTACCAACGCAGTTACCCACGCAGTTACCCATGCAGTTACCCATGCAGTTACCCATGCAGTTACCCATGCAGTTACACAGGCAGTTACACAGGCAGTTACACAGGCAGTTACCAACGCAGTTACCCATACAGTTACCCATGCAATTGCCCATGCAGTTGCCAATGCAGTTACCAATGCAGTTAGTTTACTGTACAAGCACAACGCATTGGTGACCCATTTCCTCGTCCTGTACCCCTGGATGATGTGCACCCCATGAAAGTCACACGGTGGTCACCTGCACGAGTTTCTTCTTTTATTCCTTTTGGGTGGGGGGTTCCTGCACATCCCCAGGGGGGAAGGGCGGTATGAATTAGACTGGAATACATCTTCAAGTCCGTGCGATATGACCCTCAGACTGGATTTTTCTTTTTCTTTTTCTTTTTTTTTTCTTTTGAGAGAGAGAGAGAGAGAGAGAGAGAGAGA